TAAAGGTTGGGTTTAGGGTTTAGGCTTTCAGGGTTCGGTTTTCGGGTTAAGACGGTTTAGGCTTTACGGTTCGGGTTTCGGGTCTAGAGTTTAGGGCTTAGAGTTTAGGGTTTAGACTTTAGGGCTTAGAGTTTAAGGTTTCGGGTGTAGGGCTTAGAGTTTAGAGGCTAGGATTTAGAGCCATACACCATAGTCAAATCCGCAAGCCCAACTTACTTCAAGATCATCCCCGACCTCAACCCTAAACCCTAAACCCTAAACCCTAAACCCTAAACCCTAAACCCTCGACCTCTGGCTGCACGTCGCTGCCATCAGGCCTTGTCTACGTGCTTCTGCGAATCGAAGAAGAGATGTGGCCTGATCTGCGATGGACCCGAAACCCTAAACCAATATAATCTAGGGGCCTTAGGTTTTAGAGTAGCGTTTTGGGGTCCATTATACTATTTATAATCAGGAACCCTCCAAAATAGTAGTGGTACTTCTTTCGGCCCCTATGTTCAGGTTGAAAGGTTGGGGTGTGGCTGCCTCAAACCCTTAGGCCTCCCGGCTTAGGGTTTAGGGTTTTAGGGTTTAGGGTTTGGGTTCTATAACCCAAGCCTGCTCCTTTTGGGGTCCAGGCCTAAAGCCTCTCAACACCTCAACACCGCGGCTCTGCGAGCTTAACCTAAACTGTGAAACCCAAATCCTTCAACCGCCAGCAGCACGAAGGGAAGCCACAACAAGGACCAAAGGCGACAAGCTTCTTCACCATGGGATTTGATATGATGTGTAGTAGAGTAAGAGAAGCAGAGGTAGCTCACTTATGCTGCTTGTAGCCCCAGCTAATGTAGGGGCCTGACTAATTAGAATAAGCTTTGGGGGTTCATTATACTACAACTATGCTAAGGAACACTAAGCAATGTTCTCGGTAATATTTGTCACCCGTATATTGAATCCAAAACGCCTTCGTGTGCGATTTCTGCCGAATGAGGTAACCGCCGCCAAACACCAGAACCCACATACAAGGAAACCCTAAACCCTGAACCCGTAAACCCTCAAGCCGCTCGTTTTTCCGAAGGCCCCTGAACTTGTGCAGTTGAGGCTTCTTCCACATGTCTGCTTGAAGGACGGACCATCGGCTATATGTCTTTTTGAAATGAAACGTTTTAGGACTTAGGGTTTTAGGGTTTAGGGTTTAGGGTTTAGGGGAAGCACTGTAGAAACATTATAAAACCACTAGTAGTCGAGGCCGCTCTTTCCACCACCTTCTTTCAAAAAAGAAACCCTTAGTGTTATAGGCTTCTTTTCAAAGCTTGGGGTTTAGGGTTTAGGGTTTAGGGAACCTTGAAGCCCATGCCCTCAGCTCATCTCAGGACAAGACCGGGCTATGCGCTGCGCCTCATCACGGGACCTGAGTGGGGGTTCTTGGTTTGGGGTTTAGGGTTTAGGGGCTAGGGAACTTAATTTCAGGAAGCATGGTGCCATGTGAGGAGGGGACCATCTTGGACGAGCTAATATAGGGGCCTCAATAATTAGAATAAGGTTTTGGGGTGCATTTGACTATAGTTATAATAAGGAACCCCAAAAAAGTATTGGTAATTATTTAGGGCCCTATCTTACTCGCACAAGACTCTTAAGAAACATATAGCATGCAGGCCATTGAGCCGATCCATGTCGCCTTGAAAGTCTTCCGCCGACTTTGAAGGACGACCCCAGACCCCTACAATGATCTGGAAGGTAGAACCCCTAAGGGGGGATCTAAAACACTACCAAGAGTACTATATCAGAGCCCCTTTGAAGGATCTACTTTCTAGATCCTCGCAGGGGTCTGGAACCCCTGCGTTTGCGGCAAGGCTACAATGCTACAACCGCAATTCACCCTTAGCTCCCAAGACCGAGACGAACCACATCCTTAAACCGGCTAAAACCTGCAACCTCAGAAACTAAGCTTCCCCCCGCTCAACCCTAAACCCTAGGCCGACCCAAACTCCTTCCCGAGAACAGGGCTTGCAAAGCTCGTAGTCGACCATGCTGGCCTGGCCAGCTTCAGCTGCAAACTAGTGCAAATTGATTACAGGATCGAGGGTTAGGGATTTTCGGGATTTGAAGTGAAGGTCAAGAATGTAGGGCTTATGGAATTATAGCTTTCCAGTGTTCGACTTCTTGTGGCTGCCAATCATTCCCCAGAACCTCTGCATCAGATCCTAAACCCGAAACCCTAAACCCAGAAAACCCCCAAAACCCTAAACCCCAAGCCCAAATCCTTAAACCC